AATAAATAACCTAATCTTACTCTGAATATTAATATGAATATGATTTTAGGGTCTTTTATCATTCTAACATGAATTAATAAAACTTTTGAAAAAATAAAACATATTAAAAAACTATTAGGAAGTAGCATAAATTGAACGTAACCACTGTTAAAACTAGTGGTTGTTTTAGAATTCATGTCTTAATTAACATGTATAAAAGACAACCTAAATTTAATGAGGATTTTATAGTAAAGAGATAATATTTAAAATCTAATGGCTTGAGAGAGAAGCTAATATGGCACAAGAGAGAAAAATATAAGAAAAAAAAAAGAATAGGTTATCAAGTATACACTGGAGTTTTGTTTTCAACGTACTCGACAATATTAAAAAGATTTTAATAGAATAATTTTAATTATATCTTTAAAGACTATTAAATAAGGTTGTAATTAGTTAAAAGTTTTATTTGGGGTTAATAGGATTAATTACAATATTATTTTGTAGTTTTTCAATAACATATTAGAATTCTATTATCAAGATATTTTTAATGATATTGAGTGTATGAAAAACGGATTCTCAGCGTGTACCCGGTTACCCATTCTTTCTTTTCATTTTTTTTTCTTTTATTTTTCTCTCATGCCATGTAACCTTATCTTATTTTTTTTTTCCTTGGTCATTGAATTTCAAATCTTATCTTTTGATAATTTGATTTTCATAAAATTTTTAGTTAACTTTTGTTAAGGTTAATTAATTTGCTAAATATATTATTTTTAAAACATGATTAAACAAGTGCTATTAAAATTAAAAAATATATACAAAAAAAACTCATTTGTGTTCAAATCCAAATATCTTTTCAACATATAGTATTTTTAAAAATATTCAATAATTTTAAAGGATAAATTAGGCAGTTAGCATTTAAAATATAATTACATATTGAAATAGCATAGGATAAAATGTTTTGGTGAAATAGTATTGTTTGAAAATATTGTAGTTAGGAAAGGTGACATTTCAATAATGTTGTGGTTCAGAAACTTGATATTTGATAAATGTCACATTTCAAAATTACAATAATTGATGTTGCGGTTCATAACCGCAACATTAATGAAATGTCATATTTCTGAACCATGATATTATTGAAATGTCATGATTCACAATCATTTTGAGGAACAACTAAACATATGATAAAATGGTTGGATTGTATCCTAAAATGATTTGATTGTTTTAGCTACTATAAAGTTTTAGGTCATTTTCATGTTTCAAGCTTGAAAAAATTTATAAAGTTATAGTTTTATTACTATGAAATTTTATTTACTTTATGATTTTAGAGAGTTGAAATATTTATAATTTTATCAAAATTTGAACAGAGTTTTCTTTATAAAGAAACTATACCTAAAATTTTATTTCGCTTAAAAAAACTTGCAAAAAATCACAATTAACAAAATTCTAAATAAACTCAACATATTCTCACTCTTTCTCTCTCTCTCTCTCTCACACACACATATAAATGAAAATAATTCAACAATACAATATTCAAGTAATCTCAAAATATATAAATATAATTCATGTATCTATTATCTATCTGTATCTATGTCATTTATTGGATGATCTAGACTTATTAGTAGCATAATAGGATCCATCTCTTGCTCTTGTTTGAGTGGCCTCGTCCTCTGTTATAACATCATCAAGAGTTAATCTTTTTTCATAGGTTTTAAGTCTAGTATGACAAACATTTAACCACCTGGATATTATGATGTGAACTTCATTTTCTTCATCAGTGATACAAAGATAATATGACCTCTTGACCCTTTCGTAACAAGAAGTCAACTTAATATTAATAAACAGATGGAGTATATATACTCTGACATATATAAAAACAAATTAAAATTATCACAATAATTAACACAATCATAAAAAATAATCAACCTATTTCATCAAATTGATTTTGTACCTCCACAAGACCTTTTTGTCATTATCATCTGGTGGTGTCAAAAATATCTCATCAATCTACTTTAGATATATGCTACCCCTTTCAATTCAGAATGAAGATGTGCTAATCCAAATGATCGCTCATATAACACAATCTTATTACAAACACTAGTAAATGTGATTATCCGTTTATTAATAGTCAATCCAAGCAAAACCATCATATCTTGTAGTGTTAGTGTTATCTCGCCATGCCTAGGATAAAACGTGTGTATCTTACATCTCCATTGCTCAATCAATGCATACATTAAACTGTGGTTAAGCCTGATGTGGTCAAGACAACTGACATATAAAAAACTTGTTTGGACCGTATATGGCTTGGCTTAACTCACTTATGTAGTCATATCTGTCTATGTGTACAATAGTAAATAATGGTATCTTCCTGTATAACAATTTAAATTACAATTGCACCAAAATATAACATTTAATGATAACTAAATTAAACATAAATTGTAAATATATTCAAATTAAATATACTTACAATACCAGAGAATATGTCCTCTGATCAATGATGATCTTGCAATTACAGGATAAAAGTGTTGATGAGTCCGGTAGAAATGTATCTTGATTGATGCTTAGCATGCTGATACTCATATTCTTCATGCTTATAATAATGCTCACCCTAACCATCGTCCAAATATGAACGCTCAACATGAGCAAATGATCTACCATCTCGAAGATATGACATATTGTGTAATAGTACTGATGATTCATGTGAAATTATATAGGTTTAGTATGCTTAAAAAATATAGTAATATATTACAACATGACCTAATAAATTGTTATACATACGTTGTTGATTAGGATATATTTTTCTATTATGCCATCTGTCATTGCATATGTCATGCCTATAATGTGCATGACCTTCTCTTGTATCCATATTTATGCAAATGAGTAAACATTTGTCGACTAAGTTCTAACTTCTATCTAGATGAGTCTACTTCAACTTGAGATCCAATATAATCAGTCTATTCTAACTTATCTAGTAATGGAAAGAATGACATTCCATATGCTGACCTGTAGCTTTGAATCGTGTAATAACCATTAACAAACTGTGTGAAGTCCAAGTGGTTCTCGGCACAACATGTAAGAGCATATAAACATGGACGATGGATTGTCAAACTTAATATCATATGTTATTCGCAGCAAATCATTTGACAATAAACTATTTTTAGCTCTACGACCTGAATTTGAAGGAGCAACAGAAGTTGGGATGCATAAATTTTGATCAACTACTTATATACAATATCATTATGTTCAAACCATTTTGAATGAAAGAATCAATTATTGTGTTAAAACTACCATTACACATAATCACCACATTTACTATTGTTGTTCACTAATTTGACACCTCCAAGTTATTTTAACATCTATATCTTTATAATTCACCCAAGTGCATGACAAATGATTTCTTTTATGTTTACATATGACATGCCTGAACTACTAGTTAACAATGAACTACTCTCGTTATTGTATGTGATACTATTGTTCACTTCAGAAACAATATTGTTATTATATTGTAATAATATAATCTAAATATATCATTAGACATTCTATATATATAAAAAAAATCAAATTCTAGTCAATTTAACATAATTTTAACTAAATAGTACTACCTCATTCCTAATTGAAAAAATTCATAACAAATTCAATCAAATTCTCAAAATATAACATTAAAGTAAACTTAAAAAAAAAACATAATTTATGATACATTATCAACTAATATTTTTCATGCTCAAATGCAAATTCATAGAAAATCGATTTAATGGTAAGAAAATACTTAATTCATCAACTTAGTTAATTGACAATTCAATGACATTTAAGCTTTGTGCTTATTTAACTACATTATTATAGTTGATTGCAATAACATACACAACATCTCTAATTTGGCAACTTAATTAATTGAAATAATTACTTCAACTTATTTTTATATTTAACTATATTAAATAAACTATAATTAAATATATTTTTAATTAATTTATCTTTGATTTAATAAACTTTAAATTCAACCTACATAATTATTTTATTTTAACCGAATTAAATATAAATTAATAACAAGTTATTATGCTTACTTTGTAAAACTATAAAAATAACTAGGGTAGAAGCGGGTCAACAACAACAAAGAAAATAATGGATTTTCCAAATAAATACATAAAAGAATACTTAGAAATTATGATGTGTTTGATATGGATTTTCCAAATAAATACATAAAAGAATACTTAGAAATTATGATGTTTTTGATTTTTAATTGATTTAAAAACAAAATATATATTTAATATATTTTAAAATAAAAAAATATTTTTAAAAATAATTAATAACATACATCCAAACATCATCTTAATTATTACATTTTAAAAACACAATATTTAACAAATATTACTCTTCAAAAATTCAACAAGATAAAACGATACCATTTCATTGATTTTTGTTTTGAAGATGTCGTTGGCTCGGGTTTCTAAGTTTACTGATATAATTAAAAAAACAATTTTAAAAGGAAAGAAAGCTATCTCGCTGACAGCCGGTACGATCTCATTCTTTCTTCCATGGAGTTTAACGATGACACGACAAGACAGCTATCCACTATCTACTCAAAGACGAAGCCCCTCTCTCTCAGCGCGTTATAAACAGTGCTCTCCAAACATTCCTCCCCTTCCTTCCGAAAGGCAAGCACTCCTCCAAAAAAGCAAAATCGAAATCAATCAACCTTTTTCAGCGGCCGAATCCACAGCGGTTAAAAGAGAAGAAGCAGTAATTCAGTTTTAACAGTTTCTATTTTAGCTTGGGGAGCAAGTCAAATTTGGACAAAATAACGAGAATGACACCCGACACGGTTTCCAATGTCCTCCACCGCTCGACTTTTGAAAGGCATAACGTAGGTTCGGGTTGAGGTTCAGTCAACGTTGGGACCCACCAATGTCAAGTCCACACCTCGTTAGTCTTAAGATTCTGAACCCGAAGCTATGGTTCGGACAACGAGCCTCTCATAGCGAGAGCGAAGCTCAGTTTTCCCGCTCGCGTACAATCCAGATATAAATAGTCACACACACTCTCTCTCTAGCTCACTGAGCCTGGTCGAGAAAGGGGAAAGATTTTTGAGCTCTTAAAATACTCATAGAAATCTCTCATTCTCTCTCTAGAAATGGCAAGGTAAGCTTAAATTTAATGAGGGGGTGCTTAATAAGCTTCTACATAAATTGGTTTCCGATGAAGAAATCAACACTTTTTTACGAAAACATAATTGTGGGTTTTTTTCTTTTGATTGAAAGGTTGGAAATCATGAAGAAAAATCTAATTTTTGGAACTTATGGACTAATTTTTTCCCCATTTTTTGCTTCATTTTTTTTTTTTTGGAATCTTAATATGTGGGTTTGGCTTGGATTTTTCTATTTTTGTACTCCTGGGATAAATGAAAAAATGTTGCCTAATTTTGGTAAAGAAAGACGCGTATTAGTGTTTATTTTTTGTTTTTTTATGAATTTGGTACTCCTGTGATGGGTGAAGATTTCTCTGTTTGGCTTTCGAGAGCTACCCAGTTAGAGAAATTGAAGAATGGAGGACCTGCATGATGTTATAAAGCTTAGGACTTTACTGCTTTTATGTTTATATTTGATGGATTAATTATAATGCTATGAGTTTCCATCAATGGTGATTAATTTTTTCTTGACGGTCGGATGAAACCAAAAAATAGAGGAGATAATTTTTTAGAACTGGCTACTTATTGTATTCCCTTGTGTGAAGAGTCTGATACCCAAAAGCGTTGGAGGAGCTACAGTATCTTACTGAGGAGAGACTTTTCGACTAGAATTCTGGTGCTCCCTTTTAATTTAGTTTATAGTTGTGGGTTAAATTATGTTAAAAAGGATCGCTGAAATTTGTTGAAAACCTACTAACCTCATCATAAATTATAGTCTTGTCCTGGAAGCTTGAAGCTAAGTGAACTTGTTTTTAAGATATGACTTGAACAAAATGCGTCTTTCATTTTTTCCCCTTTCTTCTTTTGTATGTCTAGTTGTATTCCATGATTTCAGCAATTAAGATTACTGGTTTTGTATGTCTACTTGTGTTGATAATGTTTCTAGTCGTATTGTTAGTTCTTATTTTAAGACGAGCGGGGGTATCATTCACTGTTATTCTGACAATCCTCTGTCTTTGGCAACAAATGTCGCTGTTGCCATCTCTTTCTGGTATATTTTTGAAGTTATGCTTTGCTAATTTGGTTATGACCTGTGTCATTCTCGCAGGGCTTGGCTTATTGATGGCAGATCAATTGCAAGGAAAGTGTCACGATCTTCTGCTTATCAAATCAAAGACTGTGGGGCAATTCGTGAGTGCCCAAAGTGCCATTGTCATATAGATAACAGTGATGTAAGCTGCAGCTTTCGTGTTCCTTTTACTTAACTGACATTTCCTGAGTCAACTTTGTGGTTTTAACATGAGTTGCATTATCATTTTTTACCTGGGAGCTTGTTAATCTATCATGGACCTATGGCTGATTGTGCATTTCTGTGGTGTATCTCACTGCTGTTGGTATTTCACATGGTGTTTCTGATCTGCAGGTTACTCAAGAATGGCCTGGCCTGCCTATTGGTGTAAAGTTTGATCCGTCTGATGCACAGCTTTTAGAGCATTTAGAAGCAAAATGTGCTGTTGGAAATTCCAAACCTCACATGTTCATTGATGAGTTTATTCCAACACTAGATAGTGATAAAGGAATTTGTTATACCCATCCAGCAAAGCTTCCTGGTCAGTGGTTGTCAAGCATGATATTTATTCTTGTTTTTCCTGAATGCCACATTTTGATGACTGGTTGATAACTACAGTTTAGTACGTTTAACTGCCATTTCTGCAAAATGAATTCACTTGATTGAATAAGACAATTTTTTTCATGGAATATGAGTCTATCAAGCACCATGAAAGATTCAGACAAATTCTTTTCCCAGCATGAATACCAACACCTTTTCAATTATGGAGTGTATGGCATAGTCACTGCTAGTTATTGCTGGCTAATTTTTGATTCACCATTATAAATTTTAGTAATAATCCTACAAGTTAATCTTTGCTGCTCTGGTTGAGTTGTTGAGCTTTTTACTCCATGGTGGGCCATGTTTTAGATATCCAAATCCTCCATGTTGAAAATGATAGTTATATACAGCAGCAGAAGGTGAGAAACTGTTGAATATAGTGAGAAAGTCTTTTATTGCATTTGTATGTGTCTAAAATTTTCCGATCTTAAGTAGAGACTAAAACACTTCTCATATAGAAGTTTTAGGTGACTCTTTAAAGACTCATTAAATATAATGAACAAACACATACATGAACTTCTAAAAACTGCATGCATTCATGATCTCCTAATACATGATGACTAGATTTTTCTAAAGTATTTATAACTGGAAAAACTCAGTCAACAAGAGTAATTAGATACATCTTTGTTGGAGGGCACAAATATTATTCTCATCACCATTTCCAAATTTTGTTTCAGGTGCTAAGAAAGATGGAAATAGTGTCCATTTCTTTCACAGAACAAATAATGCTTATGCTACTGGTCAACGAAAGCGCCGAAAGATCCACTGTGAAGTCGGTTCCAATGAGGACAGTGTCCGGTGGCACAAGACAGGCAAGACAAAACCTGTGATGGACAACGGAGTTCAGAAAGGCTGCAAGAAAATCATGGTTCTTTATAAAAGTTCAAAGAAGGGGTCCAAACCAGATAAGTCTAAATGGGTTATGCATCAGTACCATCTGGGTACTGATGAAGATGAAAAGGAAGGTGAATATTTAGTTTCCAAAATTTTCTACCAGCAGAAACAAACTGAAAAGAACGATGACAATCAACTTATTGAAGATAATGATATTTTGTCACATCAAACTAGTCCAAGGACCCCCAATTCCAATCCTCCCAACCCGCCACGACCAGCGAAATCTGTCATGTATGATGACATTACCAATGACAACAGAACGCAGTTGGCTGTGCAGGTAAATTGGTTAGTTTGTTGATACATCTTTCTATAATGTAATGCATATACCTATTGTGGAGTGTGTAGGATAGTTCATCTCTGAGAAAGATTTAAGCACATCTAATGCAAGAAATAACTCATTATGTCTACTTGGTCATTCAATTGTTAAAAATGAATATTCCCATTTAAAAATTTCAAAACGATAGCTAAAGCTCATTCATTGAATATTGAAAATGAAACGGTTTCACAACTTTGGACTTTGTTTTTGATGGCATGTCTATGAATTCGATCTTTACTGAAGTTATTTTTTTTTGTGTGGGTAGAACAATGAGATTAAGGAAGAAGCACCTGATGTCCCAGCACATGTTTTTCAGCTTGAGGGTGATGTGGAATTCCCTGAATGGTTTGCTGGTGAATCTCAGGCTGTTGAAAACTCTGATTTCAGTGCCTTGGATGATTCTCTGTTATGCAATGAAATTTTTGTTTCTGCTCCTCGTGTTCCAAATAATTCAGGGGTAAACCGTGTTTCATACACTGGCATGGCACACAATACAAACGAAGTGAATGGAAACAATAACGAACCTTGTGGAATTGCTGAATTGGAGAACCTTGAGCTGGACACTCCACCAGATTTCCAGCTTGCTGTAAGCTTCAAATCTTACCCTTTTTCATCATTTTGTTGATTTTAATTCCACTAATGGTATGATCTTCAGTTTCTAATATGTTCCGCAGGATCTGCAGTTTGGCTCTCAGGAAAGTATCCTTGGATGGCTAGACCGATTATGAAGACATGGTGGAGCAAAAGCTTCCACCAATAAAAATCACTTGCAAGTTTTGTGTCTCCCATTTTCTGGGTGAAGCTGTCTGGTATTACCAGCATTTTCTTCAGCGGAATGAAATTAGCTTTTGAGTATTGGTTTAGGGGTGCAAGGAGTTCAGCCTTAATTTTCGGAATGAAAATCTTCAGGGCGTGACTTGAAGGATCGCAAGGCTATGGGTTGTTACGTCTGATTCTGTGTTGTTCGAGAAATCAGTCCCAGGAGCTGCTACTGTGGTGTGGTGGAAATGGGGCTTTCTGGTGATTTTGTGCTCTTCTATGTGGTGTTTTCCACCATTTAGGTGTTCAAATTAGTAATTATTGAACTTAATGCTAATGATGTTGGCTAAAGGGAAAAAGCCATATTCTCAGAGGAGTTGACTGAGGTGTAATTGTTATGAAGCACATCTACTACTTGGTACCGCGCAGCAAGCAAAAGCTGTGGAAGCAGCAATTCAATCCTTGGCAACATCTCTTAACATAGAATATTAGACTACTTGTATGTATGACTTGGATGTGTTCAGTGTTTAAAGGAATGTTTGGATTGTTTTTCATAGCTCCACTTTTAACTTTATTTTTGAAAAACAGCAACTAATTTTTTTTTTTTATAAAAAACTTGTTTCTGATGCATTTCAGTCATCTTAAAAAAACATGATGTTTTATTTTAAACAAATCAAATTAAAAAAAAAGCATATTTTTAAAGTGTTCACATTTATTTTATATTTTCTGAATGCTTGTTTTTTTAAAAGAAAATTAAAATATCAAAAAATTAAAAATTAAAAGAAAGAGCAAAATAAATATTAAAAATTAAAAGAAAGAGCAAAATAAATAGGTTATCTATAATATAAGATAAGAAAAAGAAGGATGAAATGAGATATTTTTAGTATATTCTTGGAATAAGGGATAAAAAATATAAAATTGAAACTTATTATAAAAAATTTAAAAGTGTTGGTTTTTTTACTGTTCATTAAAATACAAAAACAGAATAAAAATAAAGTTGTTTTTTTGTTAAAAAAACTTGCTAAACATAAGTTTATATATTTTTTTGAAATATATTTGATATCAAAAAAATAATTAAAAATAAAATAATAGATTTATAACTCTTTTTAGTTGGAGTATAAATATTGATTTGCTTACTTATAAATAGAAAGTTTCTTGTATTTTCAAAAAAACAATTTAACATTACGTTTCAGTCATGTTTTTAGTGGGGATATACACGTGTTGGGAAGATATATATATATATATATATATATATATAGTTTTGTTGTAAATATTAGGTAAAGTCAAGAAATAATTGGATATTTATATTAATATAAATTATGATTTATATTTAGAAATGGCTGGCATTGCCTGTGCTTTTTGGATAGAGTATATGTCATCAAAACAAAATCAATCAAAACAAAATCAAACGTTGTCATCTAGGGTGGCGTTTGATATATCTTTCCACCCTTCCGTGTGTTGAGGTGACATGTAAAGGGGCTCTGAACGAGGGTTTTTCCCTCCCTCCTTTTCCCTCTCTTCTACTACTCATTGCAAAAAAATAAGGTTTGACTATTTGTCTGTTAAGTTAAATTAGGTAATGTATTTGATCTTCAATTGTTTGTTAATTTAATTTTTTTAATTTAATCCTTCAAAATTGATTTTTATGCCATATTTGATTCTTATTATTTTAATTGAGGTGTATCTGAATCATCTATCAAGGTTTTTTTTTTTTTTAAATTCATTGAATTGTACTTGTTTTTTATATTAGATTTGGTTTTTATTTTTTAATTGTGATATATTTGATATTGAATCCTTTGTTAAATTGATTTGTTTTTAAATTTCATCTATTGACATTTTATTTTTATATCAAATATAGTTCTTATTTTTTTATTGTTATTTTTAGTTGTTCAAAATTATTTTTCAATTTCATTCCTTATTATTTAATTTTATTTTATTTTTGTGTCAAATTTAGTTCTCTTTCTTTTTAAACTTATATTTTTTTAAATCACTTCTTTTTTTATTTGAATTTTCAAGTTCATCCTTAATTATTTTGATTGGTTATGAGTTTTACATTGTTATTTTTTTTAAAGTTTGACTTTATGTTGTGATCCGATCTCATATTCCATGTTACAAAATTTGAAAGGTTGAATCGAGTTGGCTTCAATTATTGTTTTTTTAAATTTCATTCATTATCATTGGGTATGTTGGAAATTGGTTTTCTTTGTTTTTTTTTAGTATTTATTTTTTAATTTGATTTTTTTATAAATTTTGGCCTTTAATTCAAGATTTTTTTTGTCCTGTCAATTTTTTTTCAAATAAGATCTTTATTCTCTTGATTTCTATTTCTTTATCCTTTATTTTTTTTTTATTTTATCATTTGATATTTTAATTGTTGAGATTTGGTCTCCTAATCAATCTAGAATAATGATTAGGTCATGGGTTGAGTGAGTGAACTTAAGTTAACCTAAGCCAACCAAATCCTTTTGTCTCATAACAAAAAATCAAAATGGTATCATTTGACTAAAAAAAAAATAGTCAACAGGTTTTGACTAGATTTTCCTTGGGCTAACCAAAACATGTGTCAACCTGGGTTTTTGACAATCTTGCACTTAGTCAATTCTCCTCCAATGTTTTTTAAGCTCGACCTGGTCATGGGTCAAACCGTTGGATTGAGCTAATTTTTAAAATAATTGCTTTCCATATGGTATACTTCCAGTTTAGTCAGTGTCTAAGGTCATGAGTTTGAAAAATTTACACAGGTTAATATCATTTTTTTTCCTGATTATATCCTTTGAGGTTGTTTGTTTTAAAAAGGAACTTCGTTTATTGGGGTGACCTAGGTTTCTTTTGAAGTTGTTTTTTTATTATTATTATTTTATCCTTTGAAATTCATTTCTTTTTAAAATTAAATTTTTTTTTCTTATTTTGTCTTCTATTTGGTTATCCTGTCCACATGATCATTCTTGCTGGTTTTGACAGTCTCACTTAATTTATTGGTGCTTTGTTTTTTAGTACTTTTTTATTGGTATTTTTTTCGTGATTTCATCATTCTATATTTTTAAGTTCTTTTTCTATGATATCAAGTCATGAGTTTTTTTTCTTTAGAATACAATAACAACAATTTTTTTATATTGCAAAAAAAATTATATGGCCCGCGGCTAAGCGCGAGCAATCTATCTAATTTCTCTTATAAAGAGGGGCTCATCTTCTTTTCATATGAAAAATTTTAGCTATTTTTTAAAAAAACTACATACAAGAGAAAGAAATATAAGAAAAGAAGGGGGACAAAAAGAAAACAGAATCAAGAAAGAAATGTGCCTATATAGTGAGAAAATAAGGGAAATAAAAATGAAAAAAAATAAAATAACATAACCCTTTTTTTTTAATTGAAAACTAAGAGATACAAAACAATTAACACACTGACGCTCTTTCCTCTCTTTCCCATTTCTGGCTAACACCATCATGGTCATAAGCACTGTCAATGACAACATCACTAAAGCATAACAATGCAACCCCCCTTATATATACATTATCAAGCAGCTACACTTTTATGGCAGATAAGCTCTCCCTACATCAATATTAGCAACAAACTACATCCACGACGATATCTCTTTTATGTTAAACCCACAACAGCCTATAGCCTCTCCCTTCAAACTGACCAACATCTAGCACCATTAATTACCACAACACTCCTTCTTCTCTCCATCGCAACATGACCATTACTTCTCTAGTAGCACTTCTATCACAACAATAACAACCAGTAGTAACAAAATCAACCATAGAGAGAGAATCAAAAGAAGGTTTAGACTTAAACATAATAGATCTTCCTCTACATATATTCGTTTGCTACAACGTTATTGAGGAAGTGAAGAAAAAAGAGAGGTGTATTCAATATGTCAGGTGGCATCCTTGAACAAGTGAGGCACATGAATCCACGTGCCAACAATAGAGGTGGAGTGTGAACCCTATCGCCACCACTATTTCAAGATTTTCCAATAGCTGCCAACCTTGTTACAGCTACTTTTGAACAACCCTAATAGTTTCAAAGGTTAATCTTAAATCCCCATCTTGCATTTTATTTCTTATTTTTTTTAAATAAAGATTCAACATGTTATTAATTCTATGATACTGTAATAAAATATTTAGATTTGAACAATTTTCAAATATGTTGTTGAATATTGTGATGAAATATTTGTTGACTAAGATTGATTGCGAATTGTTTTGGTTGTAGAATATTTGAAATATTGTGGGTTCGTGCTCGTTGTGCGACAACCTAAGAGGTATGATATTGATGAGAAATTTATTTTTATGGTGGAATAAGGTCAGAATCAATACCCTATGATAGGGTTGTGAGGATAGGGTTGCATCAAGTTTATTTGATATGTAATTGTTTGATCGCAATGTGAAATTTGACGTGTTTACGTGGCTAATTTCTCATGAGACATGTGTTTATAAGGTTTTTAAATTGTGAAATTTATATGTTAAATGGGAATTTTAATGTAAGTTGATATTTATTTGCAAGTTGTGAAATTTGCATATGCATTGTCATGACATGCATGGCGTCACGTGGCGGAGTTGCTTCTTGGAATTGAAAAAGAGTTTTGAGTTTAATTATAAAGTTATGATTATGGGATTCAAGAGTTGTCATCTAGTATTATGATTACTAGAAAATCTAATGGTTTGCAAGAGTATGGATAAAGGGACTAATTGTGTAAGGAAAATATGCATCACCCTAGTACATCCTACTGAAGGTAAGCTGCATTGTTGATTGATTATTTTTCTAGGTTATGTTTTTATTCGTTGGTCTTTTCTAATGTTCAAGACAAATCTTCATTCGTGATGAAATCTCTACCTTATAGGGTTAGATCCTAATCATTCTATGTCCCAGATTTAGCATTGAGTTTATTTTCTATTTTGTATCTTTAATACTTAAAGATATATTTTATAATGTAATTTTATACTTTCAAATATTAAAGTCTACAACAAATCCTAATACTCAGAATAACAAACTACTAGTTATGAAATTTTTGGTATTTTGGCTAAACCCTAATGAATAATTATAAACCGGTTACAACATTTTGTATTTTTAAAACATGATAAAAATATGATTTTATCATTTTTAAAAAATATACTTGAAAAACCTTTAGGATTTGGCCATATGCACGAAAACAAAATATATTTTTTTTGTTTTTCAAAATGAAAGTTTATTTTTTATTTTTTTTAAATTTCAGAGAAAAATCAGATATTTTTTATATTAGGTCCGTATCTTACCGTAAAAATCTAAAACTCAATATTAAACAACATTGTTGGAAAAATACATGATGAACCCATAAATTACTTTAAAATGGTCCTTGAAATTTTTTAGTTCTTTTTTTTATTGTGTTTTTTGGACGAACTGCTTGGGCCTGAGACCCTAACTTAGCCCGATTGGGTTGGGTAGGGCTAACTAAAGGCTTGACAATCTCTTTTTTTATAATGAGCTGGACCCAGCCTAGCCATATGAGCTGGGCTAAAATGAGTCCAGTCTATATTTGCCTTTACTAGCAAAAAGCAATAGCTACAAGACATGAATTAATTTATGTCATACATGCAAATAAGGAATGAAAATGCAAGAGGAAGGGGGTG